TTGTATCCTACGACAGTCTCCCGCCCCTTTCTTCACCTCAGTGCTCTAAAGATCGAAGGTCAAGAAGAGAGTTTCTTGTCCTGGAGCCTGCGAGAGGGTGGGCCCTTGCAGTTCATGCGCGGAAACAGCGATAGGGACATCCAGGGCCTGAGGAGGCTGGGGACAGAGCAGATCCTCCCAGCCCCTAACACCGCCCGGGAGTAGATGCAAACCCCCAGGGCCCCGGGGGCCGGGACCACACCCCGCGGGCACGAGTCCGATTGGCAGATTGTAGCCGAGTGGTTTCAACGGTGACGCCCCCACCCGAATGCCTCGCTGGGATTGGCTCATTTCTTGGTTCAGACCTGGACGGTGGCCAGAGGAGGACAAGAGGCTTTCACACAGAACGGAGGCGATGTGGACGACAGCGGAGACGCAGCCGCACTTGAAGAAGCGACCGGGCCCCGGGGACATGGCGGCAGCCTCTGCACCGTCAGTGTTGCTCGCGGCTGCAAGAAACTGGTGGCGGCACTGCCTGAGCCCGCTGCTGTTGCCAAGGTGACGGGGCATAAAGCGGCGGTCGATCGGTGCGTGGGGCCGGGGGAGGGGTGAAGGGAGAACGAGGCTCGAGCGGGAGGACAGGACGGCATCCGCTTGTCAGGGGATTCGGCTTCCAGTCCCCCTTCCAGAGGGCGTCGTTCTGCAGCCAGGCCTCTGTCTTTCCCCCGCCCCTACAGGGCACGAGCTACAGAATGTTTTTTTGTTTCTATTTTTTTAAAGTAAGGAAGCACTTTCCTTTCTCCTCCGTTTATTCATTTGTTTACTTCTGGTTCCCGTGTCCTTTTAACATGTCCCCGTCATTCCCTGTTTAAGGGCACAGGATGTTCCAGGCTCATCTTGTACTTAGCTCCTGCCTTGGAATCAGACGTTTCTCCAAAGAATCCTGATTCCTTTTTTTGGAGAATGTTACTTTATAGCCGTATCTGGGTTGTAGGTTGTGTTCGTTGCTACTAGGATGCCATTACTTCTAGACTGTCTCAGCAGACAAACGCTAGGAAACTTTATGTGTATATTTATATGTGTGTATATACATATATATGCACACACACGTTATGTGTATATGTGTGTGTATGTACATATGTATACATATATATGTACACGCACTCTCCCCACACACATCCATACACGCATCAATCCAGGTACATCTATATCTGTTTTATATCTATCTACATGTATGTTTAAAAAAACAGCTGAGTTCATACTGTTACCTCAGTTCCAGTGCATCATCTCAGGGTTCAATCAGATCTGCCCTTTCTGTAATTGTTACTGTTTTCTGAGAGTGAGAAAGCTGGTTGTCCTTATCCACAAGATATTCACTTCTTTGCTCAATCGTGTACAAAAAGTTGATTCAAAATCGCTAACCCGTACCACTGTGAAAAACAGATCAACTAGCCAGAGTTCAATATTGGTTTACAGTTATTTTTGTCTTTAGTTTCTGTAATTAAAACTGTATTATACAGGTTATGAAGGCAGTCATAGAGGTGTTATGACTATAGAGGTTACAAAGTCTCTGTAATTAAGACGTGGAACTAGTGTGTGAATAATAGAAAAAGACAAGTAGAATAGAATAGAAAATCCAGAAGTAACCCCAAGTGCACATGGAAAGTTAAAGGTGGTATCACATATCATTGGAGCAGAGTTGGGCTTTGTGATACACAGAGCTGGGCCAACTGGTTGGCCATTTGGAAAAAGATAAAATTAGATCTACACCTCATAGCATAACAAAAATAAAGTCTAAATGGATCAGGGATCTAAATGTGAAAAATGAAACAATACAAGTACTGAAAGAAAAAGGCTTTCTAACTATGACTCAAAAACCCATAAGCAATAAAATAAAAAGTTGATAAATTTGACCACATAAAACAAATGGCATGACAAATACATCATAAAGTCAGAAGACAACTGAAAAAACAGTGGATTGGGAGAAAATAATCTGTAGCATGTATCACGGGGTAAAGGATGAATATCTTTCATATTTAAATTTGAATTTTAAAAATTTTCCAAATCAGTTTTCTCTGTTTACATTCAGCAGTGGCAAAGTGACTTTATCTTTTACATCAGAATATGTCAAAAAAGTAGTAAGTTACACTGCTTTTAAAGATAAGAGTCATCCGTTTAAAAAATACTTATTATATCATGTGTCTTAGGGTCCCAGAAGTAAACCCTAAGACAGGAATTCCTGTGCAAATAATTAGAAAGTTTCCAGGAAAAAATCGCAGGGAAATAGGGAAATAGAATAGAAAGGGAAGGAAGGCCACAGAGCAAGCTGCTTTAAGCCTGTTCCCCTCGAGGTAACTCAATCCTGTTGAACTCTAAGTCAGGGTGCATAGTCAATCCTTGGAGTTGTCCTTACCAGAGAACCAGCAAGCTGGTGTGTACGTCTCTGCCTAGTCACTGGTTAAGGTCTGCCCTCAGGGAGACCCGACTTCCCAGATACTTTTGGTTTTATAAAAATATAAAACTTTATACTTAAGACTTAGTATAAAGTCATCCATTCAGAACCTTCTTGTTAACTATTGGACTTGCATAGAGGGAGTTTTTGTTTCAAATTAAACAGAAACTAGGGTTGCAGGTATGTTTTGTAGGTCTGTATCTCAACCAATTGACAAACTGAAGCTTTCTTTCTGGGTAGACTAGGATCCATGCCTTTTCTGTTCACTATTGTCAAGTTTAAATGCAGTGTGCAACATGAAAACCGCAGTGATGTGTTATGAGTTGGGAATCTTTGTCATTTGTGATATGTGCATGCTATCTGTTTTCAAAGCTCACTGCTATATTAGCTATGAAGTAAAGCTTGTTTTAACAAAGCGATAGGCTTCATTAAGATCATGGCTATATAAGTCATGGTTTCCTATTGGAAAGATAATTATCTTTAAAGTGAATGATAACCAGTGAATAGTGAATACATATCAGAACAACTTGCCCTGGAGATGTAAATGCAGAGCTTATTCACTATTTATACATCTTAAACACAGAAGAATAATGTAGAAAATGTCTATTTTGATTTTTCCTAGGACATTTTTTTAGCTAGTGATGTTTAGGGTATGGGAGGGAAAATAACCTAATGAAGCAAGTTGCTACACATGAATATCTAGAAATGATACTAAGACTTTTGAAAAATAGAGTTTATTTTATTTTTTAAATGGCTTTAGGTTTCCAGAAAAAAGTTACAGGTTTACAGAGAAGATAGTACAAAGAGTTCCCATATACCTTGGATGCTATTATATGTTATTAACATTTTACGTTAGTATGGTAAATTTGTGGTGTAATTATATTATGGTTAGTATGCTACAATTTTTTTTTTTTTTTTTTTTTTTGAGATGGAGGCATTCTCTGTTGCCCAGGCTGGAGTGCAGTGGCACGATCTCGGCTCACTGCAACCTCCGCCTCCTGGGTTCAAGCGATTCTCCTGCCTTAGCCTCCCGAGAAGCTGGGACTACAGATGTGTGCCACCATGGCCAACTAGTTTTTGTATTTTAAGTAGAGACAGGGTTTCGCCATATTGGCCAGGCTGCTCTTGAACTCCTGACCTTGTGATCTACCTGCCTTGGCCTCCCAAAGTGCTGGGATTACAGGCGTGAGCCACTGCACCCAACCAGTATGATACAATTAATGAACCAACATTGATGGGTTATTATGAACTAAAGTCCACAATTTATTCATGTTTTCTTAGTTTTTATGTAAAGTACTTTTTCTGTTCCAGAATCTTATCCAGGATACCACATTCCATTTTGCTGTCATGTCTCTTTAGACCCCTCTAGGCTGTGACAGTTTCTCAGATTTTTCCTATTTTTGGTGACCTTGACGGTTTGGAGGAGGAGTATTCAGGTATTTTGTAGGATATCTTTCTGTTAGAATTGACTGATGTTTTCCTCTGGATTAGACTTGAATTTGGGGCTTTGGGAAAGAGAACCACAGATGTAAAGTGTGATTCTCTCTCTCTCTCTCTTTTTTTTTTTTTGAGATGGAGTTTCGCTCTTGTTGCCCAGGCTGGAGTGCAATGGTGCAATCTTGGCTCACTGCAACCTCCACCTCGTGGGTTCAAGCAATTCTCCTGCCTCAGCCTCCTGAGTAGCTGGGATTACAGGCATGTGCCACCATGCCTGGCTAATTTTGTAATTTTAGTGTGGGGTTTCTCCGTGTTGGTCAGGCTGGTCTCGAACTCCCGACCTCAGGTGATCCGCCTGCCTCGGCCTCCCAAAGCGTTGGGATTATAGGCGTGAGCCACCGCACCCGGCCTAATGTGTGATTCTCGTCACATCAGATTGAGAGTTATGATGGTTGCTGTTGACCTTAATTACATGGCTGAGGTAGCACTGGAAAGGGTTCTGTGCTGGAAAGTTATTCTTCCACCCTCCTTCCACACTGTACTATTAGGAAGGAAATCACAAGGTCCAACTCACACTTAAGTGAAACATTTTCTTCTAACTTTTCAAAAGGATCAGGTTGTTTTGGATGAAGCAGATAAAAATGTTGAACCAAGGAATTAAGGATCAAATCCATGAGATTTACTAGAAATTAAATACAAGTACTCTTGTGCACATGAGTTTTCTCCAGCTGGCAGGTTGGATTCATTGTTACAACATAGCTGTGAAGTGCTACGTTGTCCTTATTCCCTGCTGAAAGCAATTGTTTCCCACAATCTCTGTCTCACTCAGTTCTATAGTAAGACATGGACGCTTGGTCTCAAACATTATTTCTCTAAGTATTGTTATGAAACTATTACATCTGCTTAATTGATTTGTCAACATAATTAGTCATTGTCGTTTTTTTTTTCAGAGTCTCACTTCATTGCCCAGGCTGGAGTGCAGCAGCACTATCTGAGATCACTACAATCTCCGCCACTCGGATTCAAGCGATTATCTTGCCTCAGCCTCCCGAGTAGTAGCTGGGAGTACAGGCGTGTGCTACCATGCCCAGCTAATTTTTGTATTTTTGGTAGAGACCTGGTTTTGCCTTGTTGGCCAGGCTGGTCTCGAACTTCTGACCTCAAGTGATCCACCTGCCTCGGCCTTCTAAAGTGCTGGGATTACAGGCGTGAACCACTTAGCCTGGTCAGTTATTGTCTCTTTTTAAAGATTGTGTTGCTTTCTGCCTCAATATTAATATGTTGGAAATTACCAAGAAGTTCATGACAGATCTATTTCACATTCTGGTGAAGAAGGAAGAATTGGCCCTTGAAGGAGTCAATGTTTTACAATAATTTTGAAAGAGGGTAATGTTTTTCTAATTGATATACATAAAAACCATAGCCAGGGATTTAAAATTTACCTTCTTGTTTAAGCTCTCTACTAAAATTCCAGAAACTAGTATCATGTCTTAGCATTTGTAATAAAGCTATCAGAGAAAACCCAAGAAGAAAAAAGAACTGTACCAAAGAGAAAAATTGAGTTGAACCTTTTTTTTTAGACGGAGTCTCACTCTGTCACCCAGGCTGGAGTGTAGTGGTGCAATCTCAGCTCACTGCAGTCTCCACCTCCCAGGTTCAAGTGATTCTTCTGCCTCAGCCTCCCGAGTAGCTGGGCTCACAGGTGCCCACCACCATGCCTGGCTAATTTTTTGTATTTTTAGTAGAGACAGGGTTTCACCATGTTGGCCAGGCTGGCCTCGAACTCCTAAACTCAGCTGATCTGCCCACCTTGGCCTCCCGAAGTGCTGGGATTACAGGCATGAGCCACCATGCCCAGCCTGAGTTGAACCTCTTTTTTAAAACAGGGTACTTTGTTATAAGATCTGGTACAGTAATATCTATATTTAGGCAGAATTAGTAAAATCAATGAATAACTATTCTCTTCCAGTGGTAGGGATGAGGTGTAGAAATCAAATGACTTTTTATTCCAACTCTGACATGAATTAACATTTTCCTCTTGGAAATACTGTAAGGAAAGAAATTGTATGCTCTTAATGACGAGAGATTGACCAGTCAGGTTGTTCCTTGTAGAACACAGAGTGAAAGGTATCCTGGCTTCTAAGAAAAAGCATGCCAGTTTCTGGTGTGGTAAGAGCTGCTCTTCCTTAGTATTGCTAATTAGGATGCTATTAATATCTGATTATAGTTGAGCCTTGAACAACCTGATTGGGGTACCAGCCCCGATACAGTCAAAAATCTGCAGATAATTTTTGACTCCCCAAAAACTTTACGACTAACAGCTTAATATTGACCAGAAGCCCTACTAATAACAGTTGATTAAACACATATTTTGTATGTTATATGTATGATATACTGTATTCTTTTTTTTTTTTTTTTTTTTTTTTGAGACGGAGTCTCGCTCTGTCGCCCAGGCTGGAGTGCAGTGGCCAGATCTCAGCTCACTGCAGGCTCCGCCTCCCAGGTTTACGCCATTCTCCTGCCTCAGCCTCCCAAGTAGCTGGGACTACAGGCGCCCGCCACCTCGCCCGGCTAGTTTTTTGTATTTTTTAGTAGAGATGGGGTTTCACCATGTTAGCCAGGATGGTCTCGATCTCCTGACCTCGTGATCCACCCGTCTCGGCCTCCCAAAGTGGATATACTGTATTCTTATAATAAAGTAAGCTAGAGAAAAGAAAATGTTATTAAGAAAACCATAAGGAAGAGAAAATACATTTACTCTTCATTAGGTGGAAGTGGATCACCATAAAGGCCTTCATCTTCCTCATGTTCATGTCAAGTAGGCTAAGGAGGAGGAGAGAGAGGAGGGTTAGTCTTGCTGTCTAAAGGGTGGCAGGGGCAGAAGAGAAGCCACTTAAGTGGTCCTGCCCAGTTCAGACCCATTTCCTTCAAGGGTCCACTGTATTTTCTTAGTAAACTGAGGCAGGATCTAGTTACATTGTAGCTGTGAAGTGCTGCATTGTCTTTGACCCCTGCTCAAAATAAAACTGTTACCTTTCAAGCCCTGTCTGCCATGGTGCTCTAGCTGCAGGGATGTCTGGTCTCATACATGTTCACCTGTTTAAGTACTGACTTGACAAATGACTCTTGAGAATGAGGGGTTGGTGGTGTTTTGCAGGTAGTGACAGAAGGAAGAAAACATTGTCAGGAGGAAATCCAGATAAAGGACAAACCATATTTTGACTGCTACTGACTTGTTGGTAAGTATTCTAATTCCTTATTTAATGACAGTATCTCTCTAGCAAAAGTTGGTTTAGGGGGAAAGTTTATAGTGGACTTTGCCAGCTGAAGTTGTAGGGGCATGAAGATCACACTCCACAGTGAACTGTGCTGTTATATATAGGTCATTACTCTTGTGGCCTAGAAGAGTGTGCAGCAGTTGCTTTTTGAAACATAATTTATATACTATCGTATCTGAGGCTCTTGATTTTTATGTTTAGTAGTGTGTATACTGATCATCAACTGTGATCTGCCCACTGCTTGTGAAAACTATATTCTCATTTGATTATTTGACATCTTTGAATTCCTTGTTTTTATTCTGGTGAAATAAATTCATTCACAGTTATGTGTCACTAAACAACTGGGATGTGTGTTCTGACAGATCACAGAGTGTACTTACACAAACGTAGATGGTGTAGCCTACTACAAACCTAGGCTATGTGGTATAGCCTGTTGCTCCTCTGTACTGAGTACTGTAGGCAGTTGTAGCACAATGGTATCTGTATATCTAGACATAGAAAAGTTAGAGTAAAACTACATCATAAATGATAAAAACAGCACCCTTGTATAGGGCACTTACAGGGGTGAGGCTTGCAGGACTGGAAGTTGCTCTGCGTGAGTCAGTGAGTGAGTGGTGAGTGGATGTGAATGGCTAGAACGTTACTGTATACTACAGTAGACTTTATATATAAACACTCTGCACATAGGCTATACTTCATTTATTTTTAAAATAAAGTAATTGCCAGGCGCAGTGGCTCACACCTGTAATCCCAGCACTTTGGGAGGCCGAGGCAGGCGGATCGCCTGAAGTCAGGAGTTCGAGACCAGCCTGATCAACATGGAGAAACCCTGTCTCTACTAAAAATACAAAATTAGCCGGGCGTGGTGGTGCATGCCTGTAATCCCAGCTACTTGGGAGGCTGAGGCAGGAGAATCGCTTGAGACGGAGGTTGTGGTGAGCCAAGATTGTGCCATTGCACTCCAGCCTGGGCAACAAGAGCGAAAATCAGTCACAAAAACAAAACAAAACAATAAAAATAAAGTAACTAGGCTATAACTTTACGATGGCTATGAAATCACTAGGTGACAAGAATTTCTCAGCTCCATTATAATCTTAAGGCATCACCATCGTATATGCAATTTGTAGTTGACCAAAATGTCATTATCCAGCGCATGACTGTATTGTTTTTCAAGGTGATTTTGTCAGCCAGGCAAATGTATCAGGATAATAATTTTATCACCTCATAACATGATATTTAAATTGTACCTGGGAGGACTCATGGTTGGACAGAACACAGTGGAAAGCAAATGTGAAATGTTCCTCAGATTTTGGACTTTATATACCGTTGATATTTCAGGGAAAAATCAATAATGCTATTAGATTTTGTTGTCTTTAACTCACCTATGAGTCTGTCTTAAAGTCGTGTTTGCCCATAGCTTGTGCTTTCTTGACGATTCCTCTATAGTTGGAATTTTCTCAGCATTTTTTGGTCACAGTTTATATTGATCCTAGCCTAGTTATATTGACTTTGTCACTAAATAAATTGAACTATGCCTTGTTACCAATAAAAATGAGTTACTATATTTTTTTTAATGTAGTAGTTCATAGGAGTAGGTAACAAGTGGTGGTCAGAAATGCCATGGGCCTGATTTCGGACATAGATTTATAAGTGAAACAGCAGGTCGTTTGGATAAAGAAGGAATCAGTATTTCCATGTGTGGTTTTCTCTTGTTCTGATTATTTGATATTTTAAGTTCCTACAGCAAGAACACTTTTGATTGGTTGTGTGATCCATTTTAGTAGAGAACTGTAGTGGCAAACATATTTTGGTCATTTGTGTTAGAGTCTGTGACATGAACTGAGCAGAAAGGAGTGATAAATATGGGTTACCAGAATACATTTTTTCAAGATTTCCCTCTACGGGTAAAAGTTTCCCAATAGAACTACCCAATAGAACTTTCTGTGGTGATGGAAATGTTCTCTATTTGTACTGTCCAATACAGGAGTGGCAGATAACATGTGACTATTGGAATGCGCTTAATGCAACTTTTTTTTTTTTTTTGAGATGGAGTTTTGTTCTTGTCACCCAGGCGGGAGTGCAGTGGTGCAATCCCGGCTCACTACAACCTCCGCCTCCTGGGTTCAAACGATTCTCCTGCCTCAGCCTCCCGAGTAGCTGGGATTACAGGTGCCCACCACCACTCCTGGCTAATTTTCATATTTTTAGTAGAGACAGGGTTTCACCGTATTGGCCAGGCTGTTCTCGAACTCCTGACCTCAAGTGATCCACCCGCCTTGGCCTCCCACAGTGCTGGAATTACAGGTGTGAGCCACTGTGCCCAGCCTACTTCATTTAATTTTAATTAATTTAAATTTAAATAGCCATATGTGGCTAGTGACTGTTTATTGGACAGCATAGTCGTAAACAACAGTGAACATTTCAGAGCTGACATCTGTAGTTAATTCTGAAAGTGTATCAGAATGGATTCATAACTGTTCCTTTTGTTTTGTGCCTGTTCACATCTGTCCCAGACTGACATGACACCCACTCTTGGCTGGCCCACTTTGGTAGGGGCTTTAATTTTACTACCCTAAACCCAATACTTTCATCCTCTTTATAAGTAATAATGTTCATTTCGCAGCCAGATGAGCCTTAACTCCTTTTGTACTAACTTTGCAAAAAAACCTTTTCTTTTTCTCTAGATATTTTGATCAGTATCTTGTATTCCATTTAGAAGCACTCTACATATAATTCTGGCAAATAAACAGCCACCGATGATTAACTAGTAGCTCAGATTGTTCAGTAGTTCATGTAGTACTTGCTGAATAATATTCTGATTCATATTTTTTCTGTTGTTCAGAACTGGCAGTAGGGGTCAACTTGGGAAGACAGCTGTGACCATAAATATTAAAGAAGACAAAAGGATTCTTTGTGACACTGAGACCTTCTGCAGTACTACAGTGGGGGAAATGCCGGTGTACACAGCTGGCCTCATGTAATTCCTGGGATGAGATCGTTTGGGATGCAGTGCTGGCTGTTGCTGAGCAGGCGATCACAGTGCGTACTGTGTTTCTTTCCTTGAGAATATTTGAATCTCGCCTGAGTACTCATAACAGATGAGAAACACAGGTTTTGATAGCATAGATTCACACTATCATGAGTCATGAGCTCTTGAGAGCAAAGTAATTGGTTTTGTCCTCTTTAGAGTTAGACCCTGTGGTTGGGTATGAAAGATGAGTGTCTGTAAAAATCTGTCTTAGAAATGTATTTCCAAGACTCTGTCTCAAAAAAAAAAAAAAAATGATTTCCTAGTTCTGTAAAAGTCGCTATATTGAGTGTTCTCTATCACTTAATAATATACTTACTTTGTTATTAAGTGGACTTAAAGATATGCGGTGTATAAAATCAGCTAATTATGTTAAACCATGGTGTCTCCCTTTATTGTGTTAGGCTGAATAGAACAAACTTTAAAATAATTTTTTAAAGAAAATATTTGAATTCATTTTGTTTGGTGTTATGTTTTTATTCAGAAAAGCATTTTATTAGTGCTAGGTGTGAACCGGAGCCTTTTGCTAAATACCAGCAGCAATCATGTCCTAGAGTTAAATCCCAGAAAATTTGCCATATTGTATATTAAAGGTTCAATAAATTACAATAAAGTATTCTTTCTTTAAAGTGATTTGGTTCTTATTCCTTAAAAATCATACTTTTTGCCATAACTCCATATTTTCAAAGGAAGAAGATGAAATGAAATAGTACTCTGTAGTAAATATTTTATTCCAGTTACAAAATTACACACAAATGTGGCTTTTTATAAAAAGGTTTAATAAAAAATTGGGCTGGGTGTGGTGGCTCACAGGCCGGGCATGGAGGCTCATGTCTGTAATCCCAGCACTTTGGGTGGCCCAGGCAGGCAGATCACTTGAGGTCAGGAGTTCGAGACCAGCCTGACCAACATGTCTACTAAAAATACAACATTAGCCGGGCATGGTGGTGCGTGCCTGTAATCCCAGCTACTCGGGAGGCTGAGGCAGGAGCATTACTTCAACCTGGGAGGCAGAAGTTGCAGTGAGCCAAGATCACACCACAGCACTCCAAGCCTGGGTGACAGAGCAACACTTTGTCTCAAAACAACAACAACTAAAGTTCCAAGTTAGCTGCTGCTTGGCAGTAGCACAAAGACTGATCAGTGAGGTTGTTCATTAGCACCATCTGCCAAACATTGTCTGCTGCTTATGAGAAAAAGGAAGCATTTGAACATGAGATTTCTCCCTCTTCTGGTGTGGCAAAAATCTTCTGGTACACGCAAAGTAGTTACATGACAGCAAGGTTCTCTATGTTAATGGACTAATATTAATCAGTAAAGTTTTTTTCCCATAACAATAACACGGAGTGTATATAATGGGTCCTATAACAGAAAAATGGACATCGAATGTGATCTTTTTTAAAAAAAAAATAGGCTTTATTATTTAGAGTCATTTCAGGCCAACAGAAACACTGAGCAGAAAGTACAAAGAATTCCCATACACTCCCTGTTCTCACACACCCACGGTCTCCCACACTTCAACATCCCACACCAGAATGGTACATGGGTTACAATCACTGAACCTCTATTGACATGTCATTATCACTCAAAGTCATAGCTTAGGGTTCATTCTTGGTGTTGTACATTCTATGGGTTTAGAGAAATTTATGATGACATTTGTCCACCATTATAGCATCATACAGAGTATTTTCACTGCCCTGAAAATCCTCTGCTCTACCGATTTCATCCCTCCCCACAACCCCTGGCAACCACTGATTTTCTTTTTTTGTTTTTTTTGGTTTTTTTTGAGACGGAGTCTCGCTCTGTCACCTAGGCTGGAGTGCCATGGCGTGATCTCGGCTCACTGCAAGCTCCGCCTCCCAGGTTCAAGCGATTCTTCTGCCTCAGCCTCCCAAGTAGCTGGGACTACAGGTGCCCGCCACCACGGCTGGCTAATTTTTGTATTTTTGGTAAAGACGGGGTTTCACCATGTTAGCCAGGATGGTCTCAATCTCCTGACCTCGTGATCCATCCGCCTCAGCCTCCCAAAGTGCTGGGATTACAGGCATGAGCCACTGTGCCCGGCTGACCACTGATCTTTTTACTGTCTCTGTGGTTTTCCCTTTTCCAGAATGTCTTATAGTTGGAATCCTACAGTATATAGCCTTTTCAGATTGGCATCTTTCACTTATATCACTTAAGCTTCCTCCATGTCTTTTCATAACTTCAAAGCTCATTTCTTTTTAACATTGAATAATACTGCATTGCTTGAATGTACTACAGTTTATCCATTTGGCTACTGAAAGACATCTATGTTGCTTCCAAGCTTTGGCAATTATGAATAAAGCTGCTATAAGCATCAACGCACAGGTTTTTGTGCAGACATAACTTTTCGGTTCCAGTGGGTAAAAACCAAGGAGTGTGATGGCTGGATCATATGGTAAGAATATGCTTCGTTTTGTAAGAAACTGCCAAACTGTCCTCCAGCTTGGCTGTGCTATTATATTCCCACAAGCAGTGGACCAGAGTCCTGTTGCTGCACACCTCTCCAGCATTTGGTGGTGTCATGTTTTGATGACAGACATCAGATTCTTATTTTTCTCCCTCAAATTATTTATCAAGGGCCAGGCGTGGTGGCTCACACCTGTAATCCCAACACTTTGGGAGGTTGAGGCAGGTGGATCACTTGAAGTCAGCAGTTCAAGACCAACCTGGCTAACATGGTAAAACCCCATCTCTACTAAAAATACAAAAATTAGCCAGGTGTGGTGGCTCGCGCCTGTAGTACCAGCTACTTGGGAGGCTGAGGCAGGAGAATTGCTTGAACTGGGGAGGCAGAGTTTGCAGTGAGCTGAGATTGCACCACTGTACTCCAGCCTGGGCTACAGAGCGAGACTCCATCTCAAAAAAAAAAAAAAAAAAAAAAAAAAAATTATCAAGCTTTGTCTTGACCATAGTTTATAATTTGTTAAAAGAACTTGTCTGACATGCAATGAATGTTTTACCAAATAGTATCGCCTAGAAAATAATATGTTAATGAATTTCGGGAAAGAGTCCTTGTCCTTTCTCAGTCCCAGTATTGATGCCTGCCATTTTCTTCACCATAAAACTGCTGCTGTGGCAAGGTAAATGCTAGACTCCTTGGAAGTATCATATCAATTAAAAGTTATCACTGCCTTCAGTCAATAAATGTGCAAAAGGAGATCCAATGAATAAGCTGCAGGAAATGGCATCTACCCTGAAGTCCATTCCCTACAAAGTATAGGAGACAGGTGGAGAGAGCTGCATAAAGACGAGCCAAAAAATCAAAACAGGCCAGGCATGGTGGCTCTTGCCTGTCATCCCAGCACTTTGGGAGGCCAAGGCAGGTGGATCACCTGAGGTCGGGAGTTTGAGACCAGCCTGACCAACATGGAGAAACCTTGTTTCTACTAAAAATAAAAAATTAATCAGCCGTGGTGGTGGGTGACTGTAATCCCAGCTACTCAGGAGGGTGAGGCAGGACAATCACTTGAACCCGGGAGGCAGAGGTTGCGGTGAGCCACTCCATCCTGGGCAATAAGAGTGAAACTCTGCCTCAAAAAAAAAAAAATCAAAATTAAACAAAACCAGCAAACAAACCCTAACATGTTGTATTAGGAAAAGGTATAAGTACATAATTTACTAAGTAGCCTTTACAGCCCTGTGTCTTAGTGTGTTCGGGCTACTGTAACAGATTACCATAGACTGGATGGCTTACAAACAATAGATATTTATTCTCACAGTTCTGGAGGCTGAGAAGTAAAGGATCAAGTCACTAGCAGATTTAGTGTCTGGTGAGGACCCACTTCCTGGTTCATAGATGGCCACCTTCTTCCTGTGTTCTCGCATAATGAAAGGGACAAGGGAGCTCTCCCGGGTCTCTTTTATAAGGGCACTGATCACATTCATTAGGGTACAACCCTCATGACCTAATCATCCCCCCAAAGTCCCACCTCCTAATAACCCTCACACTGAGGGTTAGAATTTTAACATATAAATTCGGAGGGTCAGGGGAAACAAACATTCAGGCTACAGCATTCCACCCCGGCCACAGCAAATTCATGTCCTTCTCACACGCAAAGTATATTGATTACATCCTAACAGCCCCAAAATCTTAACTCATTCCATAGTATGATCTTAAGATCAACTCTATGGTCTAAAATCTAAAGTCCTATCTAAATAGCTAGATCAGATATGGGAGAGACTCAAAGTACAATTCATGCTGAGGCAAATTGCTTTCTAACTGTGAACCTGTAAAACCTTGAAACAAGCTATGTGCTTCCAAAATACAATAATAGGACAGGCATAGGATGGACATCTCCATTCCACAAAGAGAAATAGGAAAGAGGAAAGTTATAACAGGCCTCAAGGATGTCCAAACTGTAAGGCAAACTCTATGAAATTTTAGGCTCAAGAATAATTCTCTTTGGCTTGATGCTCTGCCCTCCAGGTCCACTGGGGAGAAGGTCTTGCCATTCAGTCCCACTGAGGTGGTGGTTCTGTCCTCACAACTCTACTTGGCAGGGATTGTGTCCCCAGACCACTAGGTAGCTGGCACAGGTTTGGGCAGAGGCAATCTGGCCTAGCAATCTGGCCTATCAAAAGCAAGCCAATGATCCCCCTTTTGAGACCAAGAAGGCAGCTCTGATGGTCCCTGAATTGCCTTTGGGACCATTCTTCCCTTGTCTTGAAGAATAGTGCACATTCCTAGCCAAATGGTCCCATTTGGCTATCCAAGAAGTCTGACAGCCTTCCTTCATTACTTCCCATCTCCTTCCCCTCCACACACTCTTCTTAGGTGTCAGTTCAACTGCTAATTTTTCTCCTGGCGTGACTAATTAAATTCATGATTCACTTCCATTCTAATCTCCCTCTCAAATGGTTGCTTGGCATTTCTCATTTTTTGCAATATGGATAGCTGGGAATTTTCCAACTGTTTAAATTCTGCTTGCTTTTTGCTTAAGAATTCTGTCTTTAAGTCATTTCTCTCTTCTGGCATTTTATTATAAGTAGTCAGGAGGAGCCAGGCCACACCTTCAACACTTTGCCTATAGATTTCCTCAGTCAAATATCCAGTTTCATTGCTCTCAAGTTCTACCTTCCGCAAAACAGTAGAACATGAACCCAATTCAGTCCAGTTCTTTGCCATTTTATACTATAGACCACCTTTCCTCAAGTTTCCAGTAACATATTTCTCATTTCCATTTGATACCTCACCAGAATGACCTGCGCCATCCATCTTTCTACCAAAAATTTGTTCATGTTTATCTAGTGCATTAGCCCATTCACACTTTGATATAAATAACTACCTGAGACTGGGTAGTTAATAAAGAAGAGAGATTTAATTGACTCACAGTTATGCAGGCTGTACAGGCCTCAGGAAACTTACAATCATGGTGGAAGTGGGAGAGGAAGCAAGCACATCTTCACATGGCAACAGGAGAGGAGTGAAAGGGGAAGTGTCATACACTTTTTTTTTTAATTATACTTTAAGTTCTAGGGTTCATGTGCACAACGTGCAGGTTTGTTACATATGTATACTTGTGCCATGTTGGTGTGCTGCACCCATCAACTCATCAGCATCCATCAACTCATCATTTACATCAGGTATAACTCCCAATGCAATCCCTCCC